AATAATTTCGAAGTGACAAATTTTCAATTTTTTTTTTCCAAAATATTTGAATCTCAAGTCCATATATATTTGCATCACGCTTTTAATTAACAAATATTTATGATTTGTGTCGTGATTTGTATCTCCTGAATGAAATAATTTACCAGACTCTTCGAAATATTCCATGTAAAATTTGAAAATATATAAATAATAATTCTCCGGTTTTTCTTTTGAAAATAAAATGGATTTTAAACACGTTTCAACTTTTTTTAGTACTACCATATCATCATTTTTTTTTCAATTTTTTTTTTTTTAGCATTGTCATGTAATCTAGTTACATTTAAAGTTCTGTTAAAATTTGACTCTTCAAAATGAAGGGAACAAATGAAGATGGTCTTTGATCCAACGTTTATATTCGGCAGTCCTATGATTTCCAACCATTCTTTCTTCCTTTTTTCATTTGTAGGAAAACTTGAAATAATAATAATAAAACAATAAAAACCTCATAGTGAATTGTTTTAATAACAGAATATCGATAATATGTATGCTTACAAGATCAACACTATCTCAAAATAATCGTTACAACAATCATCAAAATATACAAACAAACAGGCAATCTAAAGTAACAAAAGCAAAATTTGGCAAGATTTATAAATAAACTACTTAAATAAGTCTAATTACATAAAATATTCGGGCTATTGTGTGATTTATAGACAAAAAAATACCACATGCCTGTGCAATGTAACATTCGATTGATTTGCAGTTTTTCTAAAGCCGCATCCTTTAATGCTGCAGCGTCGCAGTTTTATTAATACCTAATTATTCTCACTGTCAATATTTTTGTCCAATTTAATTATAATACATGTGAATAATTCAATAATACATTCACTTCACTTTTTATTTTTATGGCTCCATCAATATGAGAACTGATGATTTTGCCAATGTCACAGTTGAAAGAAAAAAAAACGAAACAAAAAAAAAATTTTCGCTAAGCTCTAATAGGACATTAACCGGTGTTGGTAAGTTGGACTACGGGAGTACTCAGTTGAGAATGTAAAACAAAACAGCAAAACAATATTTATAAATATATGTTATTTAAGTGGATAAATTTACATAGAGTAACAATATGGGGGGAGAACACTAAAGTTAAGAGGTTGTTTATGTTAACGGGGCGGGGGAATTTTGGAGAAAGTAAGTTATAAAGTGGAACAGCAATATTAGGACAATTGAAAAAAATGTGTTCCAAGGTACCGTCTTCTAGGCCGCACTCGCACAGAGAGTGATCTCGAACTCTGATTTTACGCAAAAATACAGGTGTGCAAACATGGCCTAAGCGCAAACGAATAATAGTGGAAGTGATGTTTTTAGGCAAATCGCGACGTTTAAAAAACCAGGGTTTAGTGGGTAGATTTGGTTGGAGATTACCATAGTGTCTACCAACAGTTTGTCGTGATTCCTGCCAAAGGACCGACCAGGAGGCTAGCATTTGGGGTTTAGTCATGGCGAGCAGATCTCTGGGAAAGCACTTACAGTATTTGCACACGCCAATTCTTGTCGCATCCTTTGCAAAGGCGTCTACTGCTTCGTTGCCACTGATCCCAGTGTGACCGGGAATCCAGGCCAGAGTTACCTCAATTCCCGCACAATGACATCGGTACAGAGCTTCCTTAATTTGGAGGGTGATGGAGAAATTGTCTTTGGAATGAAACGGTAGCTTAATAATGTCTTGGAGGCAACTTAGTGAGTCTGAGAAAACCAAACATTTATTAATTTTATGGGACTCAATATATAAAATGGCTTCGAGTATTGCAATTGCCTCTCCCGAAAAGACCGAATTCAGATAGGGGGATTTAAAACTGAGTACGACATTGAACTTGGGGAACCAAACCGCGGCTCCCAAGTCGCCATGTTCGTGTAATTTTGAAGCGTCGGTAAAAACAGTAGTCCAGTCATGCCATTCTCTCTCAACTATATCGTTGAAGACTTGGTTTGCTCCAGGGGTATCTTTCATGATGCCAAAACTAAGATAGACTGTTGGGCGAAACGTTAAACATTTAAAATCAGTTTCAAACAACGGGTTCATATAATTTTGGTAAATAGGGAATGGGAGATTGGAAATTTTGTTAAAACTGTTGATAAGAAGGGGGGGTTTCTTGTGTGACCAATAATTGGAGGAAGGGATAATCTCCGACAAGGATTGCAATACGGGAAGCAAAGGGTGAGAAGAATATTGAAAGATCTTGAAGAGGAATCTATTAGCAAGGAATTGTCTACGTAGATGTAGAGGGGGCTCCAGACATTCGACTTGAAGAGCGTTTGTTGGTGAGGATTTCATGGTACCTGTGATTATTCTCAGGCATCTTGCCTGGATTCTGTCCATCTTAGCCAAGGCTATTTTGTTGCATGGTTCCAGAAGGAAGCCGCGTGTTAACGGTTCCACAACCCCCTCCCGTATGGTCTGGAACGGCTTGCCTCAAGGTTCCGTTCTTAGCCCTCTCCTTTTCAGCTTGTACACGTCTGACCTCGGCACTTCAGTCAATTGCTTCTGCAAAATCTTGCAATATGCAGACGATATCGCCCTGTACGCTTGTTCCAAATCTTTTTCAGATACTGAAAGACGCCTCAACTCTGCCCTTTTTTACCTAGACTCTTGGCTTACCGATCACGGCCTCTCTCTTTCAGCTAACAAAAGCACAGCTGTCGTTTTTTCCCGCAAGAGACGCCTCCCTGAAACTGAAATACATGTTAATGGGGAAATCATAGAACTGAGGGAAAAAGTAAAATTTTTAGGCATTATTCTGGACTCAAAATTATCTGGCATCCAATAATACATTTGGAAAAACATTTGTTTTGACATTTGATGTACTTCCCTTTGACAACGGTATCATGTACCTCATGTACTTGAAATGGCCACGGTTGGCATTTAAAATGACGTTA